CGTCAGTGCCCCGGCACGGTGAGGCTGCACGGCTCGCTCCTGCCTGCGGGAAGCATCTAGACTCTTCCCGGAGCGCCGTTAGTCGCTCTCTGCTAGTAGAAAATGAGTTGGGTGCTTTCCCTGGCGTTCTGTATTTGGTGTCGGCATTGGGCTGCTTTTGACGTCACGCACGGTAGTATCCCGCAGCTGACAACGTGAGTTGGCTTTTCGTGGCTACCTACAGGGATAGAACACTGCCGTGACTTGAGATCAAAGTACAAAACTTCTTTGGCTACTGACTCTTAAAAGAAAAAAACAAAACAAAACAAGACCGCCCACCTTCGGTGGAAATACGTATCTGTTTCAATAGAAAGGAGAACTTTTCTTATTTTTGCCCCACTGGAGATGGAGAGTAAATCTTGACTATGGAATTCTTGAAGCGCTATAATGATGCATCTTTTCTAACTTCTTGTGTTGCAGGTTGAAGCTTGCATTACAGTCACTGCTACGGACGTGTGAGGTTTGCTGTTGCATAGCTATGTCTTAACTGAAGACGTCTTCATTTTGATGTCCCCTTCTGAAGGTGGTAGGATATAGCTGGTGATAGCTAGGGAAGTATTTGATCATGCGTCATCTCCTGAGATAGGTAAGCAGCATGCAATGTATTTTAAGCTTTTTGGCTATTTTGGGGTTTTTTGTTTCTTTTTTTTTAATGAGATCACAAAAATAATCATCTTGTTTACTGCATTTTGACTTTTGCAGAAAAAAATAGTTTACCTTGTTACGCTGGTAAGAATTCTGTCCTCCTTTGGTTTATGTAATGCCTAGGTTCTAACGGATGGCTTGCTTCTCTGAGCAGTTTTATATTTAGGCGGTTTGTACATGTTATGACCCTACAGAATGTAAGACTGAATGCATTTGTAGTGTATGGTATTCCACATTCCATTATTCATGCTGTCTTCCAAATAGTGGTCACAGATGAAAATTTACAGCAATTTTACGCTGTATTGCACTGATTTTTAAGTTGGTCTGAAAACATGGGGAAACTTACTGTTGTGGAAGTGTGGTGTAAGTAATAGTGAAAACTTTGTCATGAATTTTTCATCATCTCCAATACTGAAAACGAAAGAGAAGTGTAGCTTTGTATCCTTTCTAAATAGGTACAGAGTCTGTCAGCACAAATGCTGGTAATTGTAATTTAGGGATTAGGAATGGGGGTTTGCATGGGGGAGTTTGCATATGCGCCCTCCTGTTGCTGCAGAGTAACTGTGAAGCTGTAGCCTGTGTTGATTTCAGTGCAAGATTCGAGACTTGAGTTTCAGCTATTTATTTTCTTTTAAATTGAAAGTTCAGTTGACTCATAGTCGTTTAAATGTAATGATTGACACATCATATTATTCTTTGTGTTGCGTAACTGGATTGATCAGAGCTGACCAATTTTTTCCAAGCTATGAGTCAAGTGTTGGTTTTGGGGATGATCTTGAGGTCGAACACAGTGCTTTCTGGAGCCATGCCGCTCCTTGTGTAAAGAAGCTAGCCTGTACTGTCTTCTGAAAAGATGTTTAAGGTCACTTCCACTGGTTGGAGTTGGTTGGGACTGCCATTTGTGTAGATCTCGGTTAGGGATTAGAGAAGTTTTACAAAGAATGATATTTTAAGTTTTTGAAACCAAGTTTTATAAAACTGAGGACCTGCACATCTTAGAAGTTGTATCTGAAATGGGAAGTAAAGCATTTTACTGTGGAATTAATGTAAATACTGTCCAAGAAAGTAAATCACACTCTTAAAAATTGTTCAGTGTTTCACTATATTAGTATATAGAAAGTGAACTTGGGGATTGCACGCTGTATAGAAGGTAACATAAACGTTAGGGACAATACTGAAAAACCATGCATTTTCCTTTTGTTTTTGAACAGCTACGCAGAAGGGATATTCTAGAAAAGTGAAGTTGGAAGATCTGTGTGATCAAGAGAAGCATAAACATGTTGTGCTGGGGAAATGCGTCTTTTGGACAGCTCGGATTGGGTGGAATTGATGAAGAGATTGTTTTAGAACCCAGAAAAAGTGACTTTTTCTTAAACAAAAGGGTTAGAGATGTAGGATGTGGACTGAGACATACTGTTTTTGTCCTGGATGATGGGACTGTTTATACATGTGGATGCAATGATCTAGGACAACTAGGGCATGAAAAAGCCAGGAAAAGACCCGGTAAGTTTAGAAGTAATGAACTGTGGAAAGTACATGTGGTCGTGAATGTATTTTTTTGTTTCATTATGCTACATCAAACCCAAAATTGCCAGTGTCTGTGCATGTGCTGAATTGTATGCATAGTAGTTCTTCCAGGAATGGGCATATTTTTAACTTGAAAAGCGTTCCTTTGCTTGAATCATGTCTTGTGACAGGTGGAAACAACCACTGTGAAACATGGCTGTCCCCCCATGTTTTTGCCTGCCGTTCAGCTGGACAGTATTTTTTTATTTCCAACAGGGAATCACTTTACCTAAGGCTGTGGGAGACTGAGTGGCTGGTTTTAATCTCAAGGGCAGATGACCTGCTCCAATATGTGGATTAGCATTGTGCTATTATATGTATGGGTCTGGCTACTGGAATATGGTAGAAATGAATATTTGGCATACCATAGTTGAGAAATATGCTGTGTGTTTTTAATCATCTAATACGTGATGTAGAGCAGGTCTAATTAAAGCGATGTTCTTAATTTTCTTCTTTTTTAAGGACTAAAAATAAAGCTTTTGATAAAAGACTTTTCAACATATGCAGCGCCTATAGGAAGAGGATTTGGAAAAGCCTAAAGGATGCAATGTAAAACTTCTTTGGGCCTTTTTTCTTCCTATCTATGCTATATGCGTGTTCCTGCTTCCTGCTAGTGCAGTTCTGTAGCAGAAGTAGGTAAACATCTTGCAGGGACTGCAGAGGAGTGTGCACATGGGCTCCCTTCAGAGCTAGGCATGTGAGTCATATCTGCATGCTACTGAGAGATACGGAACAGTGCTTCTGACAGTACTTACAGCGTAAAGTAAGCAAACTGATAAGGCTTAGTAAGAGTTTATTAGAATCACTGCTGTAGCAGTTTTACAAGTTACTTGGCATGATAATTGATACAAATATTTCAAATGGGATAGGGCATCGTGCAGGATTTGAGTAGTTCTCCTTTATACAGAGTTTCAGATTTGGTGCCAAGTAAAGATTTTTTTGTGTAGTTGATATGTAACATTTTAAAACTAATTTGGACTTCTGTTGGGAAACAGTAAATGGATATTAAAACTGATAAAGTTTAATCTTGTGCAAGCATCTGCTTCATGAATGTGAAGAGAGACTCAGCTTGTCAAACTTACTCTGAATACGTGTTACTCACGTTGAAAATGATGCTGAATTGTCTTTTCAATCTAAAAGTTAAAACAAAAATGTCTGACTTTTAATTTTGGGGTTTTTAAAACAGCCTTGTATGAGCTTTCATATGTAATGGACAAACACCTACTACAAATCTTTTTTTTTAGCATGCTCAGACACAGCACTCATGAGGATTGTAACGTCGTCCTCCCTAATTTTTCTTTCATCTAGAGGTTACTGACAATACTGTTGCATGTTCCGATGTGAAGTCAGTGCATTGGGATAACTTTACTTTATTGTGCAGCCTAAAGAGGCTCAGTATCTTTCCAAATGGCGGATGCTGTCTTTTGAATGTGTTTCTGGTAACTGAAGATGATTTTGTCGCTGACTGCATGCCTTTGCCACCACTGTGTCACCAGTGGCACTATTTAGCTGTGCCTTACCTCTTTCCTCCCCACAGAGCTCTGCTTGTCATGGGGATGGTGTGAGTGTTCCTTAATCCATATTAGGCAAAGTCAGCCTGGCTGGTTTAAGCAGCTGGTGAAGATGGTCTGAGCTAATCTGCATGTTGTTGCCTGAACTGGAGAGCGCTTGTACACTCTCTTCCGCTGGCAGAGCTGTGGAGGCTGTAATGGGCTGAATTGGGGTGGTAACCTCTTTAATCAGACTGGCTGCTTAAAAAAACAAACAAAAAAAGAACTTATTTCTGCTGCCCCTGTTACTCTGGTTTGGAAATTGAGTGCCTGTCATGTTGCAGATACTCTTAGCTACTGTTTTGAAATTGACTTAGGCTAGGCTAAGCTGTGTTTACAGTGCATGTTACATTGATGATACACAGGCTTTTTCACTGGTGGGCTGTTCCTAGGCGGGAATAGAATTTATGTGTTTGAAAACTGGGCGTATAATGTCAAAGCAGGCTCTTATTTAAAGGGACTGTTGAAATTTCTGGCCTTAAGGACAGACCCTGGTGATATTTCTCCACTTTACTGTTGCTGAAATGAAAACGTTAGGCTTCTGATCAGAAATCGTAAGCACGGAAACAAACTTTGAGTTTTTCCAAATGTATTTAAAGGTATTGATGCAGGCTACTGGAAAAAAATCATGGATCTTTTAGTGTTTGCTTTTCAGAGGCATGCACTGGATATCTAGAAAAATTACTCTTTGGGATTGTTTCTACAGTATTTTGCATTATAAAGACGACATTGTGTAGCTCACTGCAAAATCAGTAGCTTTAGTCTCTAATTTGCCCTGCCTTGTTTTGCAGGCTGTGTTGTTAATAATGAATAGGTGAATTTAATTTGCTGTGGTGGAATGTTTTCCTCTTACATAATGTCTACACGTGTAGTCATTTGACAATAATCTATTTGACCTTAATGTTAATTGAGTTTATGCACTCATTTTCAGATGGTGAGATTAGAAGGAACTCTTATGATCAAGCTGCAGTTTTTGTGCACTTCCGTACATTGCTGCAGATACAGTTGTTGTCTGGTTACTTTGGAGTGTCAAATTTAACTTGCTTCTCCTAGAATAGCATGCTTATAATTTTAAATCAAGGATGTTTCGGCAGACTTTTGGGCTTACTTCTGTGTCGTTTCAGTTGATATCTTAGTACTGAGTATAACTGTCTTGAACACCGCTAGCTTGTTAGTAGCTTTTTGTTTTTAAACAACTATTTATTTTATTTTTTTTTTTTTTAGAGCATGTTGGTGCACTGGATGCCCAAAATATTGTAGCTGTATCATGTGGAGAAGCCCACACTCTTGCATTAAATGACAAGGGTCAGGTATATGCTTGGGGTCTGGCTACTGATGGACAGCTTGGCTTGCCGGGAACAGAGGAATGCATCAGAGTGCCCAGGTTAAAAATAATTATTATATAATAAGCTGCTTTTTTGGAAAAAATGTGCTTAAATCACATTGGTTAAGCTATTCTGCTGTTATAATTAAAAACACATATTAGAAAGTATATTTTAGCTGTGGCACTTACATGCTGTAGACAGTTTTCTCTCTCAGAAAGTCAGCTTATGTGAGAAGCGTGTTATGGGTTTGCTTAGTTTGGTTTGTTGGATGTTTCTTTTTTGTAATAGTCATGTACTAAGAATGAGAGTTACGTTGGGAAAGCAGGATGGGTATTTAAAGAATGTAAATGGAGATTGATAACTGCCGTTTAAGAGAAGTAGAATGTTAAACTTTCAAAACCAGTTGTGGGAGTACGTTTGATTGAGGTACGTTTGCTGTCTGATCTTCATACTTCAGTTTTCACCCTGAAGTTTTTTAGCTGTGATCAAATAATACGCCTTCTAGTTATAAAAATGAATGCTAGCCAGATTCACTTGCTTGTTTTCAGAATGCTGTAAGCGTTCCAGCTAGCTGAAGTCCACATTTTTACTGTGATGAATAGATTCACTGAAATCAGTGCAACTGTCTGTAGCAGTAAGTGTGTACGTTTGCAAGCTGGAGGTTTTCTTTTCTAATTTTGTTTTCTACATAGGAAAAAGACACACGAAAGTCACAATTCCTTGGAACATTAATAACATAACTTTATCTTACCTGAAAGATATAAATAACTAATATAAAGTTTTTTATTTCTATATCAAATCTAAAAGCCCACAGACCTTTTAGAAACTCCTCTTTTTCTTTTCAAGAGTTGAAAGCATACTAGATTTAATGCACATTTGTCTGTATTAACAACTTCTTTATAATATTGTGCAATACTAAATAGCTCTTTAAACTGAAGATTTGGTTGACGTTAATGTTGGTAGAGATGAAAAATTGAGTGTTCAGATCTTAACAGAAAGTAATTCAACCTTTTTCCTTTTGGAAACTAGAAAGTAAGAATCATTTTCTTATTGCATCCGATATTCATTTCCTCCATTCAGCTGCGTGACATCTCCTTCCTAGCATAGCAACCTCCCTAATTCTTCATTACAGTCTTTTACTGACTTCATTAATTTTAAAATAAGACAGAACCTGTCCTTGAAAGTGTTAGAAAAGAAGCAGGTTTGACTTAGGACTTTACTAAATAGCTTCTAATTAAAGTTAGGATATTTAAATTTGTTCCGGTGAAAAGGATTCACTTTCTGTATATTACCCTTTGGTGTAACTTTGTATTTCGTATGTGACCAAGTAGCTTATTTCTTTCTTTCTTTTCTTACCCTGATAGAAATATTAAAAGCTTATCAGAGATCCAAATTGTTCAAGTTGCTTGTGGTTATTATCACTCGCTAGCACTTTCAAAAGGTAAGCCAAATTCTTCTGGAGTTTTGTGTAATTTCTTACAAGGTAATTCTAAAGGTTTCAATGTTTATTTTGTCTTCTTTAAAAAGGAAATGTTTTTTTAAAACATGCTACCACTTAACACAGATAGGATTTCAGGTTGGTAGGGGAAGTGTAATTTAATGATGGAAGCTTGAATTTAAAAAATAAATGTACAAACAAATGCTGTGTTGTTCTGCTTTTTTTTTCTTCTGCTTTTTTGCTTTTTATCATCTTGCTTTCATGTAACTTCCTTTTAAAATTCATTTTTGTTTCTCTCCTTTTTTTGGTCCCATTTCTTTTTCATCCTGCTACTTTGCTGCTTTGTCAGTGGTCTGTTTCAAACTGTAACTTCAAGTTACTGAGGCTTGCAGGCAACGACTTCTTTGTTACAAAGCCTCTGTTTGGTTGGTACTTCTATAGTTAAAATGTAATGTCACTTTATAACCCACCTTTTGAAAGGTTTAAACATCCGTCTTCAAAATTTTGCTGGGGCTATGAGATCATAATTTGCCTCACTCGTGTAAGAGTGTTGCATGTTTAGTTAGTATAGCTCTCCAGAAATAAATATAGATTTACATTTGCTGTTTGTTTGTTTCATTGTGAGAAAGGAGAGTTGTGGCCAAAACTTCCCTTTGGGAGAAATAGCTGCTGGACAGGGTTACTGGAAACTTAGAAACTCAAAACAAGAATTCCAGGAAGATTGTAGTTTGGCAATGTTTCTTAACAATGTATAGTTAAAATATAAACAAAATAAGCTTTGGAGAGGGAGGTGTTAATTGTATGCTGAATGATTGTTTTGGGTTTTTTTTTTCCATTTTCTTTAAATATAGCAGTTTATACTGACTATGCATGCCTTGATTCAGTACATGACTTTTCATGGGCTCATACTGAGTGTTTTCTGTGCCCTTATGTATTCCCAGGTGTCTATACCATTATAACTGAGCGATATTCCTTTGTTTTCAGGGCAGGCAGACAGATTTACAAATAACCCTTTGCCTGAGTTGAGATCAGCAGTAGAATGTGAGGAGGATCAGAATTGTGCTGTTAAGCATTATGTTGGTCAAAGGTGCAAGTATATAATAGGAGTTTGTAATTTAAAATTCAGTCAGTGTTTTAAACAGTTACAAGCTTCAAGTACAGCATCACTATCCTATTGCCAGTTCATGGATTTGCAGCTCCATGTTTCTGTTCTTCACGTGCATTCTAGGGTGTGTTTTGTTGGGCTTTTTTTTCTGGTTGTAAGACAACCTGCAGACATACTTGCAATCTAGCATGGTTATGGCCTTAAAAATAGACCCATACAGGGAGGAAAATGGGATGAACTTACTTGAATCGGGCATTTTGAGAGGGGACAGTAGTATTTTTAGATCTACATATGGGATATTGATCAGGTGGATTAGTTCATGTGATTATAAATGATTGGCATAGGATTTCCTTGGTGTTATGAAGACTGTTTTGTGTAAAAGTGGTCATTTGGGTGGGGTTTTTGTGGTTTGTTTGATTTGGGTTTTGTTTGGGTTTTTTGGTGGTTGTTGTTCAACTAAATAAATTAAATCTGAGACACCTGTATCCCTGGGGATGGGTTTCATTGTTTTCCATCTTGACAAAACTGTTATTGGAAAGATGGAGGTAGAAGAGATATGGGAAACATTGCTGTTTGAAGGTGACATTACTGTTTGAAACATATTGCATTAGCAAAAGCAAAATATATTTGTGATTAGGTTGATCTTTAGGATAGTAAATACCTCGGCAAAATGTTGGCTGTTCAGTAGAACGTTTTATTTTGGAGGCAATCTTAGCATAAATAACTCTCTGATTTGTCATTCTTCAAAATGTGGTTTGTTTTTTTTTTTTCTTTATAAGGCATCAAATGACATAAACTTTGTGCTTCATTGCTCATAGCATTTATACAATATTTTAAAATGTAAAATATATGTAACTTAAATTGTATGTGAAAATCACGTGTGTTACTGTATAAAAGCTTAAATGAAGCTTGTGATTGGAAACCTTTGCATGTCCAGTATGCAACTTCAACAAGATCTCTGCATAAAAATATATGCAGTAGTGGAACTCCAAATGGAACAGCATCTTGCTTTGTAATAACCAAACTCAACTTATCAGACACTGTTGAAACAGGAGTGTTAAAAGCAGTTTTGAGGGTTTTGAATGTGATTTAAATACTTTCAGTCTGATTACATATTTGAGTTGAATGTCTGCAAATCACAGGAGAATGCTTAGCTTCAGAAGTCAGTAATTTGTGTGCATTTTCAAACTCAAAAATATTTGAAGAGTAACTGTCTAACTTTTAGCTTTTCTTACAGTAAACGAACTTTATATAATTAAACTATATTGATTGTATTTCTTGTTTTGTTTCCTCCTC